TGGCATGTAGCGATAAGGATACGCTGCATGAGACCAAGAATTTTCTGTCATCCAGTTTTGATATGAAAGATCTTGGTGAAGCCTCGTATGTCCTCGGCATCGAGATTCATCGAGATAGGTCCAGAGAAACGTTAGGACTATCTCAAAAAGCATACTTTGAGAGAGCACTGAAAAAACTCAATATGCATAAGTGCTCACCCTCACTTGCTCCTATAGTTAAGGGCGATAAGTTTGGGACATTTCAATATCCGGGGAACCAATGTGAAACTAATCAGATGAAGTCGGTTCCTTATGCTTCAGCTGTCGGAAGCATCATGTATGTTCAAGTGTGTACACGCCTAGATTTGTGTTTTTGTAACCGGGATGCTTGGCAGATACTAATCAAATCCAGGACCAGACCACTGGATGGCCGCAAAGAAAGTCTTCGTTATATGCAAGGAACTAAGGATTTCATGCTTACATATAAAAGAACCAATAACCTAGAAATTGTTGGTTATTCAGACTCTGATTTGCCGGGTGTGTGGATAGTAAGAGATCCACGTCAGGTTATATATTCACACTCGCAGGAGGAGCCATATCGTGGAAAAGCTCCAAACAAACATTAACTGCTGGATCTACGATGCAAGCAGAATTTGTAGCATGTTATGAGGCCACCGCGCAGGCTGTATGGCTAAAGAATTTTATTCCCGGACTTAATGTGGTTGACAGCATATCTAAACCAATTTTATTATACTGCGATAATGAACCCGCAATTTTCTATACGAGTAACAACAGGTCAAGTGATGCTGCCAAACACACTGACATAAAGTATCATGTTGTGAAAGATAGAATCCAGGATCAAACAGTTGATGTTGAACATATAAGAACGAAGCATATGATTGCGGATCCGCTAACAAAAGGCTTACCACCCAGTATTTTTCGTGAGCATGTTGCCGGCATGGGACTACTGGAAGCCTGATGATTCTGGAATAAGAGGACCATTAAAATAAACCACCCCCAATTAGCAAAATGTTTTTCATTTCGAAATAGGCGGGTGTGCTATAAGTGTAGAGGTTCTATGGCGTTTCGAGTTGTTGTAACACCTCACTTTGGTACATCATTCCTATGTAGAATGGGCAAATGAAGTTAAGCCTAACGATCAAGGGGGAGAATGTTGGTTTGATCTGACGGCTTAAACAGGCCAGTTGGATCTATTAGTCTAACAGGAAAAAAATGAAGGGATGACGATAAGTGAAGGGGTCCACGTACCAACGTACGTGAGGCTCGATCAAAACTAACGCGCCCTGATCGGGGGCGCCCAAAAACCAACTCAGGTTTTGGGTCCCCTGTCGCCAGCGCCATATTAAAAGGATACGGGAGAGAGCTGGCCACATGCGAGATCACAATTCACGTAAGGTTTACTCTCCTCCCGATATTTTCACCCCATCCGATCAGGGGGAGTGCTGCAGCGACGGGAAGACCTAAGCCAGCCGCCGCTGCTGTCCCTGGGCAGTGCCGGTGGCGCCCTGAAGGAATCAGGACGTCGAGGAGAACCTCTACCTCGACTACATCACCCCTGCATCAAGCCTGCACCAAGCAGGCGATCATGTCCATTGCCGTGACATGTAATGATCCCCTAAAGCCTTCTTTGTTCATGCTTTTAAGGTGATCTAGATGCAATCAGTTTCTGCTAATGGCATCCTAGAGATGCATAATTATTCCAACAAGATCAACAGCCTCCAATCCTGCAGGACCGAGGAGATCAGAGGGGATCTCCCCACTCAGACCATTGTAACTCAGATCCAACTCACATGCCTTGTAATACCACTAGGGATAGAACCAGTAAAATTGTTCTGATTAGCCGCAAACCGAATGAGTTACCAGAAAGGATTAAGGTCCTGAGCTTGGTCGGCTTCCAGAACTCATCCTCGACATCACCAGTGAGATTGTTCTGACTAAGATCCAACAGCGTGAGATCTGAATAACCGAACAGACTGCTTGGGATGGAATCACTGAAAAAACTACCAGACAACACCAACTCCTCCAAAGAGCTAGCCATCTTTCCAAAGATAGCACCCACCAAATGATTTGGAGCTGAGGTTCAGGCTCCTCAACCTAGGCATAACACTCAACTGGGTGGTCACAGTTCCAGTGAAGGAATTGAAGGAGAGATCAAGAACCTCGAGTCGAGAGAAGCCGAAGAGATCGCCTAGTCGCCCGGCCAGGCGGTTGCTGCTCAAATTCAGCACCCGCAACCCGGCGCTCATGGGGCAACGAGAGAAATGGCCCGTCAAATCGGTGAAGTGATTCTTGGAGAGGTCGAGGGAGCGTAAGCTGTCGAGGGAGAATAAGGAGGCAAAGAGCGTGGGGTTGGACATGGAGTAGCTGGACAAATCGATGTCGGTCACCACCGAGAAGGAAGTGGAGTCAGAAGGAGAGCAACCGATTCCTCTCCATAGGCATGGATTGGAGACGGTTGTGTTCCACCCGGCCGAGCCCACATAGCGCGAGAGATCCCTCATGATGGACTCCTGCGTGCTGTTTAGAGGAAGGGGCGGGTTGCCGGCGGCGGTGGCGATGGACAGATGAAGGCACAAGAAGGAGAAGAAGGTGAACAGCGGCATCGAGAAGCCATGGCTAGAGCAGGTAGAGTACCTCTTGCTCTCCCCCATGGCCGCTGGTCCTCGGTTTTGCTTCTGATTCCTTTGGTTCCTCGCCGATCTTGGTCGGTACGGTACGGGCAGTAGGCGGGAAAAGAGATGAAGAAGATCTTCTGCCCCTGGGTTTTGGGTTTCTCCGCGGCCGTGGCTCTGTGATGCTCCTGCTCTCGTGTTTTGCTTGGCGTATAAGGATTCAGTTTGAGTGTTGTGTAGAGCTTTGCCAAACCAAAAGAAAAGGTGTTGTACAGAAACGAGAATGCAAAAACTACTCGCTCCGCCCCAAGTTACTTGTCTTGGATTTGTCTAGATATGGATGTATCGTATGTTTTAGTGTTAGATACATCCATATCTAGAAAATTTTAAGATAAGTAATTTGGGGCGGAGGTAATACATAGTTGTGGTCATTTTGAGGATTTTCCGAAAGCTGCGAAATAAAATTAAGAAAGAAAGCTAGGATGTGAGTGAGCACAGGGTCACCATCTCCCACAAATGGTGTTCCTGTCGTCCCGTTTGCACCTGGACTACCCCACACCACACTTGACGAGGGAGGTGACTTTGAACGTAGACCCTCTCCATTGCTGTCTTGACTCCCGCTCCTTCACTGACTTGAGCCCTTCCTCCACCACCACTGATCTCTTGCAAGCAAATTCTCTGAAGTATTCCCTCCGTTCCATAATATAAAAGCATTTTTAAAGCTAAGGGAATACATGCGTAGAGTTTTCTTTTCTTAGATGGGACGTGTCACGAGAATGTCTGGCGTGTGATTAACCTCGCATCAAGCATGGTGCTTCATGAAAATTAAAACTCATCTGCTCGTCCTCCTAACGAATGCATCTGAAAAGGCCAAAAGGGATGGATCGGTTCAATACTAACATGATTGATAGAGTAGTGCATGGAATGATGGAAATCAGGCAAACAATTTTTAAACCAAAGGGAGCTACGATAAAGGTGAAAGGTCCATATTGTCTTTCCAATAGTGCTACACCTACGTACATCTACGGACAGTTTTACTAAACTACCCAACTAATCCTCTCTTTGCGTAGATGTAGCATTACTCTTGTCTTCCAGTTTCGGTCAGTGGCAGGCCGTGTTTGAAGGAGGCGGGCGGAGAAAAGTACTGCTCCTGGACGGATCTGGAGAAACTGTCTGGTTGGAGTAATCCACGGCGTGAAGGTCACCGTAGGGTCGTCAAATCTCGAGCTACCAGCGAGCTGGACTTATGGAAGATTGCGATGCAGTAAACGGATCGTACTAGATGAAGTAAGACTACCCATAATGAGAGTAACATAAGTGGTAACATCACATTTATTTAAGTAAAATAGATGATATAGCATGTAATTAATGAAGAAAAAGAGACATAATGATAACATAGCTAGTTACTGTAATATTACACATATCAAGAAAAGACGAGTCTACAATGTAATAAATGAAGTGATGCATGACACAACACATATATTACTATCCACTGTGAAGATAGTAGCATAGACTAGTAACATATGCATGTTACTACTCTAAGTTACTCTCCTGTGTGACTAGTCTAACATTAGCTGAACCACTACTGCTGGAATCGCACCAAATATATGTGTCTGTCCTATCCGGGAACACACTAGTCAAGCGTGTAGTTTCCACTCCCTCAGAACAGACCGTCTTGCTACTTGCACAACATTTAAGAAAGGCCATGATAAAAATAATTTACATACTGGAATCATCTCGTAAATGTGCATAGCAAAACTGTGATTATGATTTACACCAAGTCAAAACGTTACTACCCAAGTATCACGACTGCCAAAAATAATCCTATACATACATGAATACTCAGGCAGACATGAGCTCAACCTATTCATACAAAAGAACAGAAAAAATCACGCTGGCATCAACAATTCAACATTTAGCCGAGGTACAATTGTCACCCATAGAACAACAGTTTCAGGAAGATTACCTAACCTCCTCGCGAAAAATGGTACAGAGAAGGATGTACAAGAATAACATAGCTATAGGATACACAAACAACTCGATAAATGTCTGTCAGCGTTCATCGCACCCCAGTTTCATCGACAACAATGGTATACATCGTCTAATCACCTGAACTATCCTCATGATTCATCCTCAAAAAGGGCTCGTATAAATGCATCAGTATTGAAGCTGACAACAAAAGAATCCATGTATATGGGTGTCCTATATCCAATTTGGGAACTTACAGGGTACATCTGCACTTTGCCTGTCCGCTAGCTTGGGTTGGTGATATTGGTGATATCATACATCTTCAGTCCACCGCCACAGGACAGGCTTCTGCACTAAACTACATGCAAGTTTTTCTGTGCTGAGCTTCATGAGAAGTATCTTTATCATCATTGTAATTCATCAGGCGCCTTGAAGAACATTGACATAGAAAGGATACCCTTGGCCACCACCTGATGTCACATTTTCATCCACCTGTCCACTCTCAGATGAATGCACTTTCCAGTGCAGCTCATACGTTGAAAAATCATACGTTCCGGGTGCAAATATGCACACTTTTAGGGGAATTTTAGCAGAACTGTCAGGTTTCAGATCAACTTGAGCGGAACTCAATGAGCACCAAACAAACGGTGAAATGCTTTCTGATGATTGTTTCTGAGAATGTGCCCCCTTGGTACTTGAGATGGCCTTTACGTCATTTTCCAGAGATACGTCATACCATCCACCCTGACCACTGGCAGATTCATGTGAAGGGGCAGTTTGGCTTTTCTCAGGCATACAGTCAGATGTAACCACTCTCACGCTAGTGTTATGGTCTGAAGAATTGTGAATCACCAGTTGGATGTTAGCCTCACAGCATGACTTCGAGAAATCATGAGTAATTGTTCGAGGTCCTTCCATAAGCCACCACACAGGATTCTGGTTGAGAGCACTGCAAAAGCAGATCATATCAGCATATATGTTCAGGGCCATCAAAAGCAACAATCAAAGGTTCTAGCACTTACCTGCAGTGGCAGGTATGATGAGAGAGCAGTTGTTCTGTCTTGGAAGAGTTAACAGCTACTGCCTTTGAGATCAGAATAAAATCAAGTAGACTACGTGGCACCTGAAATGAAGTCAATACATAGGTAAGCATTTGATTAACTATGCTAAAATTCAAATATGCATACGCGAAACCAGCCAGTGGCCACATTTCGGTCCAAGTGTTGTTGTGTTGAGGTTAAGGCTAAGGGCAAAAACACTACCCAGCTGGATAACATTGGGAAACAGCAAGAAAACAGTACCACCAAGTGGTCTAGAATGGTATTACAACCTCAGGCAGCACTCACCTTAGCAAACTTCCCTTGTTGGTGTCTTTCTTGATAGTGGAAATCAGTGATAGGAGTCCGAGAAACATCAAATACATCAGTACTACCCCCAGGAGATAAAACTATATCACTTCCACAGGAACCGTCTGCCGCCTCAATACATGAACTTGTACTTAAATCCTGGAAATAATTAATGCAAGGAAAACCATATCACCTCGCCAGATACAACAGGCATGAAAAAAAATAAAGAAATGGAATACATAGGGCCCAAGAAGTGTCTTGTATTTGATAGCTCATTCAAACAATGCGTCTCCAACCTTTATCTTGAAGAAGCATGACACAGCCTGGTTTGCTGGTACTGTTTCCACAAAGCTGATGGAATCACGCGAGGGTAATGTTGAAACTGCCCATTTAGTGCGGACACATGACAATTGATGAAGTGCGAATGAGTCTGATGGAGTCTTGTTGATTACGTCCATTCGCACAATATACTCTTGGAATCTTGATGAGCACATACTTATAGCAAAGGACACATCAAGTGACGGCAAGACCTGTAAATAAGAATTGTTGACAGACAATTAATAGATTCCAATTCCATATTTACTTGATGTTTCCACATCTATCAAGAATTGTGTGCAAACATACAGCTGCTGGCTAAGCAAATTTGAGATTAAATAATGCAACAGCAGCATCCAAAACCACGGTGCCATTTATATGGGTAGTAGTTCTACACACCTTAATCATGGGAGTACAGAGTGCTATAATGTGAGATTTGAAAAATAAAGAAGAGTGCATTTTAAATAAAATATAATTAATCACACATCATACTAGCTTCCAGTATTTTGGTCCAAAACATGACAAAGAGATCAAAATCGGAAATCCAAATCTTCAAAAATCTTGCAGAAGTGATTTCTATCCTCTTGGGACCACCGCACTTTTATAGAGCTATTACCACTTCAGAACAAAATTAAAATAACAAGTGGCATCTAGCAATGAACTCAGACTTTCAGAGCACATCTGATTTCTGGCGGGCAGCCATAACCAGTTTCGCCAGCCACAACCTATATTTGGTAAACCAGCTGGCACAATGAGGTTTTAGGGATTTCCGTATGTCATAAATCTCGCCAACATATTTAATTAGATCAACTAATTATTGTAGGAAGCTGGTGCCCCAAGAAGCAACTGGTGCAATACTAGTTCTGAAAACACTGATTCCAAATAGAATATACTGTGCATGTGCAATAAGGTAAAAAATAAACATAAAACTTAATATAATATTGCCAATTTACCTCCACATTGTAATGCATGCGCAATGTGCGATACGGAATGTCAGTGGTACTCTCCATTTCATAATAGAGAGACAAATAAAGAGAGAAGTTTCCAGGAGTTGCGGCATGAAACCAAATAGGCCAAGAGAATGTGGCATCACCTTGAATTTTAATATCCTGGAAAGAAATGAATGTAAATATTGTAAATAAATCGGTAACACAAATCAGATTAGTAAAACAAGACAGGGCCTTGAACCACCTCACCTGAGGAAATGCAAATAGTGAACCCTTGACGTTTTCCTTAGTACCTTCGGGTACAGTGTTGCTGTCTGATTGAACATGCTTTCTTAAGCACTGTGGGAATTCAAGGTCAAGGTCTGATGAATCACCGGGAATTACAAACCTTGGATGGCTAATTTTCATTTTTATATTCTGCATGGCAGGCTTGGAAATGGTTAACATACAAAATGATGCTACAGACACACATATATTTAAAACCTATGCTCATTTCTGAAGAACTGAGAAATCCTTTGATGATTATGAATTATTGAACAGGGCAAAGAAATGAATATATGGATAAAAATCCGGACCTTCACAGCATGTTCTGATTGGTTTCTCAGATTCAGCGTGAGGAGTTGTAAATCACCAGTAAATGCTTTTGCTGGCAAGCACTCAATATATCCTGTAAGTTTAGGTAAACCCTGGAGGCAAAGAACTTACAGTTACTCACACGTCACACGAAACAAGTATTTGAAAGAAAAACCCAGACAAACAAGAACCTTGATAACGATCAGGTTGTTGTTCAAAGAACGCCGGGCCCCTCTTTTCCCTTTCTTGTTTTTCTTTTGTGTAGCCACTTCGAAGTACTGATAGCCTACTACCGAATCTGACAGGGTCCACCTTATCCCAACTAACTTCAGAATACCTATAACTTTTGGAGTCACTTCAAGTTGTATCTGGTAGAATTAAAAAGGGTAATAAGCCATTTGGAAATCTATGCACATAAAGTTATGCAACACCAATATGAAGCAGCACAATCAAATATATATGAATAAAAATAAACCAATTCCACATGTCACAAAGGCACTGTTTTTGAGTCGAACAAGTCGACTCAACAACGTGTCGACTAGTCGATGAGTCGCGACTAGTCACAACTGCAGGGTCGACTATTCAAGAGTCACTACCCAAGAACGACTCATCAACTCGAAAACCGACAAAGGGCAACAAATTCATCGCCCAAAACTTAATAACATATACTACCAAAATGTTTAAACCACGAATAACTGAGGCAATTATCAGTTTAAGTATTACTCTCTTGTTATGGCTTCCATTGTGGTTTTGTTGTAATGTCAGGGTTCACAGTCAAACTCAAAAATGATATTAAATCCTAGGAAAGGCTTACATCTGGCTCAAAGGAATATCAAGCAAAAGCAAATAATATAGATGACTGTACATCAGGCTTGCTCTGCACTAGCTATTACAACTCCTTCATCAAACTACCATTTGGGCATAAGAACCATCCTTGGTTGGAACCACAACAGCACACCACGCCGATAGCAAATTAACCATTATAGCTATTCTGTTTTCTATTTGACCTTCTAAGAAATATACTCCCTCAAAATGTAAGTTATGTCTGACTTCTCAGTCTCCAATGCACAACTTTGACCATGATTTGCACTATGGTATTATTCTTACATGCCAAATCAATATACTCTTGCCTATATTAGCAGTCAAAGTTTTAAAACGTTAAATGCACACATGCTAATGCGACTTATATTTTAGGAATGGGGGAGTATCATGGATTAGGGAGAATTATCTAATGGAAAGTTCAAAATAGTATTTGTTGTTCACATGGTAACTTGGATATGCTATATACAGGTCTCACTGTGAAGGCCTTTTTAAAATGTTTTTTACGTGACAACAAATACATTTTAGCAAGATTCTTTAAGGAACCCAGATTAATGACTAGAGATGCTTACTTTTTTGGTTTCACCTCCTCCTAATACAATGTCAAGCTTCGATACTGTGAAATTGTTTCCATCACTTTCAAATCTGCAGTAATCAACAAAAAACAACAATAATGGTATTCAGAATCTTCGGAAG